CTGAAGGCTCAATTTTCTTGGATAGCTTAATAGATGCAACCGTAAATTGTATGCGAAACCTCATAAAAACATCAATAGCCCAGAGGGTACGTCCATAATATTCTGTATGGCCCTCACGGAGCGCACGTCGACAGGCGCATTTCCAAGCGCGTTTGATACGCTTGCATCTAAATAGAGACTAAATGTGTCCTAGGCCAAATCTTGCCCATACCTCACTAACTTTAGTGCCCAAAATAAGAGCCAATATTATTAGCGTTCCCCCTGTTTAATGAGGAGCAAGCAAGAACCCTCGTGTCAACCATAATTAGTGTTAAAACAAATGGATTTAGTCGAGTTATAGTCCTCAGACTTAAAACTAAGATTTCCAAGATAATGTAATATAAGGCCAAAGCCAAGACAAAAAACTATAAAATATCAAAACAACCGGTGTCCATATAACATCATCCTACAAAAAATAGCAACGCCCAACGAATTAAGCTAAAAATAGCATTTTATATATTATTTAAATATTAATATAAATATATCATTTAATAATTATTAATATATCAATAATATAAATTATATTTTTTGTTTTTTATTATTTCAATATATATATATAACATAATATTTTTTTAATATAAACCAAACATAATATATTCTTAAATATCAAATCCTTTCTTAATTCCCGATACATTTTCAAACATATAAATATATATAATATATAAGATCTATAATGCATATTATTCATGTTATATATCATTATATACCATTATTATGTGGGTATCAATTCAATTTTCTACCCCAATATCCCCATATATTATGAATCGTACATGCGTGGCATATTGTATTGTATCTTTTGTTTGGAAGTTCCGACATAAATATTGAATCTATCCATTATCTTTGTTCTTGATATTTACAATTTTTTGTGATAAGTGAAACGGCGGTTCTTGGTCAATACCTCAAATACGAATGAGATTGACCAAGCACATCAGTGCATCCGAAGGTGCTGGAGAACCCTGTGATTGGATACTCCTCAAATGATCATTGATGTCATATCATTGAGTCATGTAGGGCTCGAATTCTTTGAGCCAGCATGTTGGAACATGTGAGGATGTGAGACGGCACAGATAAATGTTGAATGACTCTAGTAAACCGCAAAATCAGAAACGTTGAGGGACTTGGGTTCTCCTTGGTCCAGCTTTGAGGTTTTGCAATGATGCGAACTCTCAGGACAGCGATCTGATACAAATAGCTGACCCAAAGAAACTGAACATGATTCACGAACATCCGACAACAGTCCACTGGATTCAAGATAAGACTCTGTCTTTAGTGACCCATAAGATTGAACATCTCATTGGAAACCACATCGTTTTCATTTTGGGGACCCTTTAGATCAACGGCGGTGCGGAAAACTCACCGCACCGACGACCTGGGCGCCCCTGACGGCGCTGGACGACCTGGAGGCTCCAGACTTGAAATCAACTCAAATGGATTCATCCACTTGACCATGATGTGCGAAGGGTTTGGAGATAGAGGAGATGAGGATATTGTATGTATATATTGTTTCTCTTCTATTCTTCTCCAGACCGTTTTCAGAAAGGCTTAACGAGGAACCGCCGACCTTCCCTCGCTTTGGCGTGAAAAACAGACCTGTGTTGGGCCTTCGGACATCGATCTATTTTCTCTTCTTCAACCCGTCCGGCGATGATTGGTTCGTGCTGGAAAAAAGAATACGTGGATTGTCATGTGAAGAACATGGCCATCGATTTCATGAGATCATCATCGTTCATCAATTTCACAATGTCATCAATGTATGGATCGACACAATTTGGAATCACATGAAAGCCTTCGTGCCAAAGTCTCGTGGATCAGAGCCCCTCACACATTGAACAAGGAATTCGGAGTTGGTAGTGGCGCTTCTTGCGCTCCAAGTGCGAAGCGGCAGAGAGCTCTCCAACAAACTCTAGTGGCTGAGGTGAGAAGAAATGAACATTGCGGGTTGTTGGAGTCCGTTCCTACAAGTGCAGGACAAGGCCGATTCGATCAAAATTCATCAACGAAACGAGACACAAAAACAATAAAAACACAATAACATCTCTTGTTTGTCCCATTCAACGCAGAGTATTTGTAGAAACAGAGTCAGTACATGTCCAATTCACGTTCAGCTCCAAACTATGCATTTTTACAGCATTCTCTGGCCATTTCAGCTTCCACTTAAAACAGGGTTGCTTTGCTCAACGCAACTTCTTTAGAACGGAGCCAACATGAGTCAACCACGGTCGTCACCAAACCGACCCGGATGCTGTCCGAGCCCGCCTTTGCCCGAGCCTCAGTGGGGGGATGCGATGGGTTAATGTGCCCCAGTGCTGTTCAACAAGCCTACCCTGAAATAGACATGATATGACATGATCAATATCCCCGCAGGCTGGGTCGACTTCTGAACCTGGAACCAGCGGTCCATTCCCAATTATGATTGGATAGGGGGCCAAAGTCCTGTCAAGGCTTGTAGTTCTGGTCAAGCCTTGTACAGTAACTCTTACATCACCGGTAGAGCAAAACACATTTTACACAAAGGACCTTGTGGAAAGTTAATATCAACTTGCATCCCAAGTAGATCTGTGAACCTTTTCAGATCATATTTTACCGCCCGCCACTTCGTGGGGATCTGGTCCCCTGTTCTTGACGTACACTTGTGTTCAACAGCAAACGTTTTCTGTTCAAGGTGTGTTCCACGGACCAGCTGCCTGGAACTTCCCGGAAAGGAACCTTTATCTTAACGTGCCCAATGGGACGCTCTATATAGATTCAATGGATGTTTTATACATGATGTTGATCCACCCCCCCAAGAAAGGTCTCCATGCGAAGAAGATACCTCGTTTTTTGTTGACCCAGGAATCGCCAGCTTGGCCTCCAAGTGCCTCATTCTTCCCCAAACAAACACATCCTCTTTGCAGCGTCCACTCCACCTTGTCCTGACCTGTCCTGACCCCTTTCGTCGTCCGTTCCACCAAGGAGCCGCCATCCTTGCCACCGCCTCTTGTGTCGGGGCCAGGGCAAACAAATGATTCGACACGCCATGACGCGTGGGAAATCATTCAAGTGAATCATCTGACTTTGCTACCACAACGAATCATGGGATTGCATCTCCTACTGAATAACATTGAAGTGGACAAACCACCAGCCTTTAGGTCGTGCGAACACCACTTCATCGACTTCGCTGTTTGTGAGTCCGCGTGTATACCCAAATTAATCCAAATCTTGGTGTGCAAACATGTTGGACACAATTCTGCACGCACATCCTACTTTGAGACATAACATGACAGAATCAGATGGGCTTATCTTCCATGTGCCACAGGAATCTGAGGGGGGCTCACATACCCACCACCGTGGTGGTGAATCGGACGTCCACTTGCTCGTCCACATGAACATCCCAGGTTCGTCTGATGTGGCAGACTGGGCCATGGTGGCAGGATTCATCGAGACAAAGCGGTAAGACTTACCATCCACAACCCAGTCCGAGTTGGTGTCAGAACATAAGCGGAATGATTGAACATTTCAACTTTCAAACATACACGGTAGGTGAGATGTCACTTTAGGTCCTTGGGTTGAGATGTCCGCTTGTGTTAGTTTTTTTTGTAAATCTGAGTACTCTGACTGAGAAATCCTATGCGGAGGCTCTGCCAACTTTTGATCGGACGCAACAAGCACCCAAACGTCGCTTCTTCCCCCAACGAAAACTGATCGCCGCGATCGAACGATCTGTCGTGGAGACTGGCCGAGGCGGCAAGGCGCCTTTCCCCAGGTCGGGCACTGACAAGTTGATGGCCATGGCCTCAGTGGTCGCCCTCGAGACAATCCACTCAAAAGCCGGATCAGCTCAACAAATGAACCCAAACGGGGTAAAAGACCAGGAGGCAACTCTGGACATGGTAAGAACTGGTAACATGTGGAGGAGTCCAAGAAAGTCTTTGTATCATCACGCACCGATCAGACTGACCAGTCAGTCGATTTACTGCGCTTTCAATGTCCTGGGATTCGTGAGGTGTATCGAACCAGTGTTGGACACAGGTTTTCATGGACTGTTCGTGTGCAACATCCCAAAACTACCAGAAGGCCACCCATAATTTAATTACACCAACTGTGCTTGTGGTCGATTGGCGGAAAAAGGGACTCGTGATCAGAACGTTCGTGAGTCACTACGTTACTTCACATGGTCTCTCAAGCCCTCCAACTTCAAACAAACATATGATAGCACATATCTACTGTATATCATAGCAACTGAGCCCTTTGGTGAGCATCAGCTGGCCGCTCCCTTGGCCGACAAAGGCGACCTGTTCTGGATGATTTTGGCTTCGCTGATCCACATGTGTCTGACGTTTCGCCTTTTCCAGCTACTCCTTTTCGCAGGCCGTTCGTTGGCACTAGCGATGCACCCATCATGTCTTCACAGTCATCCCTTCCGCTCCACAAATCCCTTGCTTGGTGAGCCCGAGATTCCCATCGACTTCCGAAAAACTGGTGCAATGTCCGAGTCCCGCGCCAAGTAGTGCATCTGCCATTGTGCCTGAAACTGAGCGTCACGCTCAAAGGGGATGAAACTGATGCAACCTAAGCTTCAAAACCTTGGTGGTCTCTTACCCATCAAGCTCTAGCTTATATGGAGGTCACCAGTATATTTGTATATAATATACACATGCACACATTCTTTTGTGAACAGTCCATCATCATTCCACATATTCCCTGCCAGTGAAAGGAAAAAAAGGCGTCCAACCCCGCTCCCCACGCTCGCGCCCGCGTGAAGTCCAGCGCCTGCGCCTTGGCTTGGGCCACCGGATCCACCGCAGGCAATGATTCCACCTGGCTCGATGTTCTTTCGCTGTTGCGAGCGGTCAACCCCGGTGGAGAGCTGGCGCCGTTGCGCCGAAGTTCAGGTGTCCATGGTAGAGTCACTGTTCTGGATGTTCGGGTGACTTTCTACTTATTATACTGGTAGTATACATTATATATATATATTTATACATATATGATAAAATCATATAAACAACCGTATGACATTGGGTGATCAGTGATTTGTTTACATTGACGATTCGACCGCCCTCAGCACGGCTGGCGAAATGCCTGGAAGTTCCTCATCAAAACCGAGGCCCAGTTGCGCTGGTGGGTCGCCAAAGGATGCAAAAGGCTTGCAAGTCTAAGACATGCCGTTTCACTCCTTTGATCCGTCACACGGAAATGGCCGAAACATGCCGAACACGTTGGAACACCGATCTACAGAAGCTCCGGTTCGCTCCGGCCATCTGCCATCTGCGGCCTGTGGAGGTGGAGGAAGATCGCCTCACGGAGATGTGGAGACTGCGAAGAGGTGGATGGATGTGGATGGTATTTGAGACCGTAGAATCCCGGTTTCAGGGTCACCCATTTGAATCCGGTGGATTTTCAGATGTTTCGGGAAGAGTTCCTTTTCAGGGGGCAACGGAAATCCAACCATTGTAATAGGAATATATAATATGTAGGACATGCTCCGTGGGCATGCATCGGGTATCTACTCCAGGATGACTGCATCGTCAACAGAGGGATTGTTTGCTCTCCTATTCTACTCCATGCGACATTACCCAAGGCAGGCACAGGCAGTTATACACCACTTTTACCTCTTGGACCTCTTCCAAGCCGACCATCACCGAGACGCAAAAAAAAACATGGCTCCTCACCTGAAGTCCAACCTGATCTTGAGCTGAGATCCTCTTGCTTGAGGGTTTCATGCTGGGCATGATGTATAGTGAATGACGATCCCTAAAACAATCTACGGCCTTTCTAGTGCATAATGTATAAAAGTAGAAACTATCGATTTAGGTAGATTAGGTGAGCCCAACCCCAAACATCCGAGACTTGAACGATTTCCACGAGCTTTCCACTTGGCCAGTTTTTTGATGGTTGACTCCTCCAACGTTTTGTTGACCTGCTGAAGGCTTCTGCTCAGACTTCTCGGTCTCCTCAACCTTCTCCTGATGTGCTGGGAGCAGCAGGAACAGTTTCCACGGAAGTCTGTGAACATCTCGGGAAGTCGACAAGAAATCTGGAACATGAACATGCGTAGGTTGCTGAATGGATACTTGCATCATCCGAAAATTCAGCAACCTAGAGCTCTTGTTTGCTTGAACTATAGAGCATAATTCTCGATAAATTATAGCGTTTGAGGGTTTAGGACCCAATTGGCCAAGAGGATGGATCCCCAGATCAACGGTCAAATGGGGATACTGCAAATACCCAGTGAAAAGGATCAAGATGAATACAAAAGGTTTGTGGTCCTCATTCTGAGAGAAACCCCGGCGGACCCAACCGTTGCATGGTGTGCCGACACGTACGCACCTATCAACAGTGAATCTGTTTGATGCGTCCCACGGGACCAAATGGTCAAGAAAACAATCGCACTTCACGCGTCTCACCGGACCAAAAACAAGAAAACAAATTATAGCATACAGTCGTACTACTATGTATTTTGCATAGCTTCACTTGCGTCAATCCATGGGATTGCCTGGTCTCTCGAGAGCGGTCCTGAGACCTGTTCAGCTGACGACCACATATTGTTCAGCGGGCAACGGTTGGAAGGGATGACATGTCCAAATTACTGTGAGCCTGGTGACAGCACTGTGGCTCTCAACAAGGAGGACATAGGAGGACTGCACTTTGTTGACACATGACCCTTTCAATAATTTCCAAACTACAACGGCTTCATTTTTGCGAAGATCCACCTCCGAACTCTTTTTTTTAAATCTCTAATCTGTTTCACAAGGACATGTGCCGATTTACAGAGTCTATTAAACACGATATAACACCCAAATACTGGGCTGAAACCACATCCATACACCATCGTCTTACACCGACCGAACCGCGCGCAACGAGTCCGACCGAGTCTGACCGAGTACCGACTGAGTACCGCGTGCTGCTTGGTCACCTCGGCGGGCTTGGGCAAGGCTTCCTGCACTTCCACTTCCACCCCTTTGATGCTATGACCTCAAGGCAGGCGGCGGCCACGGTGCAGGTCATTTTCACGCATTTTCCACTCGGAACAAAGGGCATCGCTACTAGGAGCAAGGACGCCCCTAGTAGCTCCTGGCCTTACTACTAGTAACAAGATGCATCATGGAGACGAAAGCGTGGTGAGACGAGGACAGGAGGTTCTGTCCGATATCGAGGCGCGAGGCGTCGTGCCAAGAAGGAAGCTGTGGCACTTTTGATGACACAAGGTGAATCTACCTGCCATTAGCGATGATTGGCGAGAAACACATTTTCATGCAGATTAAGAAGGTTCCTGGACTTCAACATCTTCATCTTGCACACTGCTATAGAGATCTACCTTCTCCCCAAATCCCAATTCTTGCGCCCCACTAAGGCTCGAGACCCGGGGATACAAGGAACTTTCAAATGGTCTCATGGTTGAACCAACAAATACCTAGTACATACAAATACAACATCCTGGACCATCAATCGTGGGGTGAACCTGAGGGTGAACTCAGGCAGGTGTTTCGACACATTGATGAGGAACGAATCGAGGACATTGAGATGCATTGATCTGTGCTTCCCGGCTATCAGCGCCTGGGTATGCGCAGCTTCTGTCGTCTTTTTGGGGGATGGCTTGGGGATGGAGTTTGTGAAGTTGAGCTAAAGCCCTACTTCATGTTCCTTCACCCAGCCGCTCCACTGGCTGTGGCTTAGGATGCTTCGCAACCAATCCAACCAGTCAATCAAATCGAGCAAGCGCCCGGTAGCTCGATCAAACCCCGGTCGATCGCTTGGTGCGCTGGTTGAGGTTTGAACACCACCTGGGCATCCACAATCTCCACCAAGGCAGGGACAGTGTGTTTGGCACGCAGGGGGTTGTTTGGCACGGCGAACGGTTCACGAACAGGGCGCGAACGGTCGTTTCGTCTTTTGATTCTGGCAGCTGGCACCTGGGGATTCTTTGAGTTGTGAACGTCAATGTACCAAGGTCTTGGGTGAATCCATGTGTGTTACACCCAAACAAACAGGGGTGCTACGACCCACACTCGGCTCTACCCAAGAGCTGTGCAAAAGAAAGCTCTTCGACTAGATTGCTGCTTGGACTTCCATACTTGGGACATCCTGCGACCTACAGTAAGTCGTAAACAGCCTTCTTTGCCAGAAAGCTCGCCGTCCAGTTCACTTGAACCATCATGAACCCAGAGAGGAATGAAGCACCTTCTATGTTCTTTTCTCCAGGCAAACCATTCAGTTGGAACGGTTGGAACCGCTTTCCAAACCTGAAAATGAAACAATCACAGAGTCAGGATCGAGAAACCGCGGAGTCCTCAAGAATCGACCACCCAACGAACTGCGACTCTGTCGCTGTCACGAGATTTCCCAGATCTCAATCTTCCATGGTTGTTTTTCAAAGCTACAGTTAAAATACACTTTCACTAATCATCACTAATCCATCTAGAAATGAAAGACTCTTCAAACAGCAGCAGTCAGCAGTCCCCCATTCTCAGGTGAACAGAACGCGTCAAACCGCAATGGCCTGCCTGGCCTGCTACCCTCTCGATGAGCTCGTCCAGGCTGGGCGTTGGACCACCCCCCTGGCCGCGCATGCGACGGACGGCAGCGGTGGAAGCGAAGCGGAAACGACGGACGGCACATCAGGTCTTCCGCCCAAGTCTCAAGTGGCCAAGACTGTTGAACTCCATATATAAACTCTAAACAGATTGAAACATAAACATCATAAACGTAATAAACAACTGAACTCATTCATTCATGCATAAAAGTGTCAAAACAGCACCTTCTCCAATCATTTCTACCTTCGTGGCGTCCTGCCGAGGACGCGCCAATCCTCTCCTTCTCCCGGCCTCTGGGGCTTTGGGTGCCAGGCTTACGAAGGCCATGCCACGAGGTCGTTGGGTCTTTTTGTCCCGAACGAGGCTGGCCTCCGCCCGAGGAGGACATGTGAGGATGATGCGGATCCCTAGCAGTGGTAAACTCGTGCTAGCATGTGCTGGCTTCCGCCAGGAAGAACTGCACCATATCTTTTTGGAGGGTTTTGGTAGAAAAGTCCCAGACGCTGTTCCACAGTTGGATCTCTGTGCAAGTCCGGATTTTCTGTCCAGCACACCCATATAGGGGTCCACTGAAAGAAATGATGGATGCCAGTATACTATGTGTACCTTTCTCCCCAGGCATGTGAAATTCAACCTACCGTCTCCCACGAACTTGGATGGCAGTCATCAAGTGAACTTGGCAATCAGCGGGCCTTGAATTGGTCTTTCTGAGTTAGAACAGCGCGGGAATATGTCTTCTCCAAGTTGAAGCCTCCGCCCAAAATGGAGGAATCACTTGACCAAAAAACACGGAAGCCGCAGGGGTTTTGGCCATTCTTTGAAACCTCCACGACCTGGCTTGCGCCTCCACGACCTGGCCGAACTTGTCAAAGTAGTCCTGAGAAGTCGACGAAACGGAGTTTCTCCCGCTGGGAGTTGGTGTCGACTTCTCAGAGTCGGTGTCAAAGGCAACGTCCCTGAAAAGACCTCATCCTTCCCTCTGTTTGAGCCTAGTCAATGTCACTCATTCTGCTACAAATAGAACACATCAAATATATACACCGAACATACTACAGTGTTGCTATCCCAAAACTTAGTTGCACTCAGATGGACACAAAGCAACATCAGGCAACTCAAAAACACACTCCTCCCGGCCGGACCAAAACGATTCCTGGATGCTCCGCCCCAGAACTCCCAAAGTCAATGAGACCAGGCCCGAATGCGCAGCGGTCGTCGTTTCAGGATTGCCTGCGGCGTTTGATTTTTCGGTCCTTGAGGTGATGCTCTCCCAAGGATCCCAAGCCCCGCACGAAGAACCGGGCTGACCTTGCCGGTCTTCGGTTCTTCGAAGAAGCGACTGAGCGAAATCGTTCAAACCGAGGATTTCAGGTCGGTCGAGTAGGTTGGACAGTTTTCTTCACAGAAGACCTTAAAAAGGGTTGATGATCTTGTGATCACAGGGTGATCCGTAGGTTCAACCTTCAAACGTCCTTAGGTTTAAATGGTTTTACGCCTCCGGATCTTCCGTGGTCTTCGGGTCTTCGGCGAAGAGACGACGATGCATGCGGTTTTTGATTGTTTTGACACATGTCCATTTGATCATGCAGGAATCTGGTAGGAAACAATTCAAATATATTCACACCATTTTGGCTTCTCAACAGCTTGTGCGGGACTTGCAGAGGCGGTTTTGGGGTCGGAGAACAGGTCGTTTCTGGGTCGGAGACCCCTTTCAGCCATTGGCACATCGTTGGAGAACATGACATCAGCGGAGAGACACCGAACTGTGGGGACTCACCAGACCCGAGAAGCCCAATCCCATTCCGCCACACGAAAGAGCTCAAAGTGAATGGATGAATCGTGAGATAAACACACATACCTCACTCACACACGTCATCTTTCCACCTCACCTCACTTCGTTTTCGTCAAACCCTTTTGGTTCGGCCTCGCACTGCCCTGGGCCTTCCGAACTGGCCCAGCGCATCGGTCGCTCCGCCCGCCTGGATCCGAGGCCGAGGGGTTTGGATCCACCGGCGTCCGGCCGAGGGGTTCGCTTCGAACGAAGCAGGCTGGTTTTGGTCAGATCTACCTGATCTACAGCAAAAAATACTTAAGCCCATCACAGTTTTGCCTCCGTTTGGTGAACCATCCTTGAGTTTATTGAGTTTCATCCCATTCAACAAGACTCCAATTATGGTGCAAACCTGTCTCTGTCACCAGTTGAAAGCTTGGATGCCAAATTGCTGCTTTTCCATTGTGCGTGGACTCAACAACCCACTTACTTCGGCTTATGGGTGGTGCGGCCGCATGCAGGGAGCCCTGGTAAATCCGCAACAATTAGCAAGATTGACTGCCAATGTGCCAATGCATGTTTGTTCAGGGGATGCACTTATAATCTTGTTTTGGGGTAGCTGTGTCCGGTATTGATTCTTCTAATCTTCTATCAAGCTAGCTGAAACATGTTATTTCATTGTGTCATCCACTAGAAATATAAGTCTGCCACTCCTGAGCAGCGCTGAGTAGTTTCAAAACCGCTTCACTCCTTTTGCCAGTTAGTTAGGCGTTCAATTGTAGTTTGACCGGCTGATGAAGTACTGTATATAATCACTAATCCGTGACCTGAGATGAACACTTAGCTATCGAAGAATTGGAATGACAGCAGCAACACTCTTGAATTGTGGTTATGATCCAGGAATGATCAAATCACAAAGAACACCAATCAAATCATCAACAATTTGGCATATGCAATGCTGCAATGCTATGATCCATTAAATTACATGAACCAACAGTATCTTGTGACATTCATGTCTCTCATCGATCTCTGATCTGTTTTTTCTCTCCCACCGTCTGGCGCCTCGCCCTTCTCGCCCAGCGGCAAGACGGCCTCGCTGGCCTCCACCGCCCAGGCGCATCGATGTTCCGAAGGGCACCGCGTCGGTCATCTTGGTGTTCTTCTCCCGTGACGCCAAATTCGATCTTTTTCATAAACTCCAACGCGGCACTTGGCGCACGTTGCTTTTTTGCATCTATTTTTGCTACAAATCATCATTGACCTGACAAAGCGAGGGTTTGGCACCAATGTGACAGAGTCACACGTCCTATTTGAGAATGCGTTGAACAAACAAACATGTGGGATGCCCAATGGATGACCTCGTTTCCTTTCAGGGCGTCCTGAGATTGAAACAGCCCATGGGCATATTCATCCATATTCTACTCTTTCGCAACTAGAACACGGAACTTGAAACTTGAAGTAGAACAACCATCATCTTAATCTGGTGTACGAGGAAGCTCGTGCACTGTGGATATCTGTGGATGATTTGCTGGCTGGATTCCTGGAAATGTCCGATGTATCTGTATCTTTGAAGATCACTTGAAGCAGCCTGGTCTCTACACAAATCTTGCCACCAAATCACTGAATCATCTTAATGCAGGCACCTCTCTTGCTGTACTACAACTTATACAACTTGTGACAAACTCACTGCTGCTTTTGCAGCTGCCTCTCTCTCCACTCGTCGTTCCCAAAGGCGGGCCCCGCTTGAACAGCGGGCTGTGTCGCCCGGCATCGACCCCTCTCGCAATCGACCTCGCCTGCTTCTCCGCCTGGGCAGTGGCCACCTTAGCCAAGGCATCTGCAGTGGCCGCCTGGTGACGGGCCAAGGCATCCGCTTTGCAGACTAGTAGGAGCAAGGACGCTACTAGGGGCTCCTGGCCGTACTTGTGGAGGAATCGGACGGGTCCAAGTTGATGTCAGAAGTGAGCAGGGAAGATGATAGTATCTAGCAGGTATCTAATGATGGAACCCCCGAAGTCTGGCATCATCCAGAGGGGTCGATTTTGTACCACGTACTTGTTTGTTCTTCACTTGGGGATGTCCCCCCAATTACTGAACCTCAACCAATGGTAAAAGCCCATCTATTGATGATGGGGTCTCAAGACCACAAGTCTGCGGATCCTGAAACCATCTGAAACTATCACGATGCCCAGTGGGAGCACGCAATCGGTCTTCTGCAATTGGTGCATCAACATACAAAGATTACAAAGGCCTAATCTCAGTTTAAAGCAACATTGAAACTGAGAAGAACCTCACCAACTGCCGGGTAGCAAGGAGCAAGTAAGGTTGGCAGCAAGATGGGCATCCTTCCTCAACACTATGTGATGATTAGGCACATGATTCATACTGCCCTTATCTAGTTGGAGACCATGATAGCAAGCACATGTTCCAAAGTTTCGGCCGTGCGTACGGAAGTGCACCTTTGCCGCGGCCGCGGCGACCTCCCCTGGATCCTGGAAGTGGATTCAGGTGGGGTATCGCCGGGTATCGCAGTGAGACCTACTACTATCGCAATGTCAGTCCCCAGCCCCAGAGGCTACCCAATGTACTTCTGCTTTTCAGGGTTGAGGGATGTTGAGGGGCTGAAAATCGAGGGATAGGGACAGTGCTCAATAAAAAGAATAACTAGTTCATTCAACAATTTTGGTCACCTTCGAACTGGAGAAGGGAAGGTGCATGAGACACCTGCATGACTCGTCGCTTTTGTTTTTTTTTTGTCGCTTCGGCAGCACCGCCACTCCCTGGGACGGCTACCCTCTGAGTCAACATGGAACTGGAGAACAATCCCTTGGAAGACTAACTCTCCATTTAGGAACAGGTATGTTAAACATGTTAGTGAGCTGGAGTGCAACATAGTGCAACCATTATCTATCATTGCCACGCGGGTATGAGGGGTATCATCTTCCGGTCGATTCTCCATGCCATCCTTGGAAGGACAAGCAATCACGGGGCGTGAAGGAGGAGCATTGTAAATATGTATAACTGTATAACATCGGAGCTACAGTATGTACATGTTATTGCACCCCAAGGCAAAAAGTCTTGCTGACAAGTACAAGCGCCGTTCTGAGGGTCCAAAATTGGAAGAACTCCATCCCCATGCATGAAAGAAGGCCAACCACGCCGAATACCCCGAAGTCAGTATCGAGCAAGAAGCATTATAGATTGGTACTGCGTTGGCTCCCCAAGCATCAAGCCATACCCTTCCTCAAACAATCGTGGAAGTGGAACATGGGCCCTGGAAGATGATTTCCATGTGCAAAGGGGTTCTGCCCAGCTTGGTAGATTCTTGGTTGGATGTTCGGACGCGCTGGGCGCATGTGCAGCATGCCACGCACCCGGGGGCTCTCCTGCGCAGGTATTCGGCCCATGGCGGATCTCTTTGAGCCGAAAAGATCGACGGCACTGTGGGCTACCCAACTCGATGTCCGCAGTGGGTACTGCGGACTGTGCGGATCACCCACACGCCAAAATGGGAAAGCAAGAAGCTAAACTCAGAATCGATGCTACGAGAAAAGAGCTTGTGGCAATCCTGATCTTCAACTAATGTAACCATTAGAATTTGGATATTCATTTTGGAGCCGTGGGAGGGGTCAAAAGACCATGGAAAAGGTCTGAATCATCGTCCTGACAACTGCATTGCGCCATGAGTTACACACATCACATAGTCACCTCAGCCCCAACACAGTGAGCATGATAGGAGTGCAGATCAAGTACCTGCATCTTCCATGTACAGCCTAAAGTATCCAAAAACTGCACTTCACGGTCAACCTGGTTTTCCGCTTGGCACATTGGCAACTGGCTGTGCAGCTGGCATCTGGCAACAGCTCAAATGCACAGCACTAGGTGGGCTGAAGGATAAATGTGTTGTATTGAGCATGAACATGGGAAGCAATGAGGTGAGACTCTGCTCTGAACCCTAAACCCCCGTGTGGACACTTTTGTTAGAAAAAAACTACAAGGCCTGCTCATGATGCTCATGACCCTCTAGCCGGTGTTTTCATGGTCTGGATGCGATCTCTGCCTCTTTGTCAATCAAAACACATTTGATGAGACCAACCTCAACACCCATGAGAAAACCCGAAAATCTCAGCCAGACTACCTTCGTGGATGAACCTCCTCACACTACCTCGTTCGCCTCCACCGACTGCCGCCGTGCCGGGTGCTCACACGTCCAGGTTCAACGGCCCAAAGGAATCCATCGAGTCCATCCTGATGCGTGGAGAGGTGACGATGTTGGATATCTCCATCCTGACGCGTGTGACGCCTACGTAACAAGTCTCTGGGTCAAGGACATGTGACACCTGAAGTCTCTACTATTTCACCCATCCTTGCGACCTATGCGACTCAGTGCAAGCTGCTATGACCAAGGATGTTCTACGGTTCATCTGTAGGTCTTATGTCAGTCGTGCTTTGTGTATCGTGTGCATCACCAAGTCCCTGAAAGGCAAACAAACGACTCCAAAAGTGTTCTAGGTTTGCATGTTTTCTTCATCACAACTTCCCAAACATACCTCATGATGCTGGATATGCAATTCCATTCACAAACAAACAAACCACATTCGCCCCAGCTAAAGCTACAGGACTGCAGGCACACCAACACAAAAATGACCTCCAGCGCAAATCCTCATGAAACGACCTATTCCCGCGGCTTCAATGTATCAAATCCGTAGTGCCAATGCATCATAATGCATTACTGTCTTCTATCAATCCCACAAGTCCTTTGTCATGTCCTTCCCCTGTCACGCCTGTCACACCCTCCCTCACCCTCCCCTGATTCTTCTGGGCTCTCCAGGCGGCCCCGGTGTGTGGGACATGGTTCTCCGTGGATAGACCCAAAGGAACCTCGCCGTGGATGGCCGACATGCACAGAACACGCAGGTGGACTGAGCAGCCATGAGACCAGCAAACCTGCAGTTGGTCAACTGGGCAAGTCCAAAATGGAATCAGAACATGGGTAGACCTGGAGTCATCCCTTCATAGCAGTCTCTTTCCCAGTTTTGTTGCTTCCACATAACTCCAACATCAACTGGAAAATGTCCAACTGACAAAGCTTTTCTTTTGTGAATCGAGCGGCCTTATGGTCAGCTTATGGTCAAAATACTTCGCTTCTCCCACAAACATTCACAATGCTGGAACAAATACCACGCTTCCACCAAGTGACAGCCATTTCAGCGGCTTGCAGCAAAGACACCTCAGGGTTCTTCAGTGACCCGTTCTTCGCGGCTCCGATCGTTTCTGAGGGTCACAAAGCCATCCTCCCCGCTGTTTTGGGACTATCGTGAGAAACGGCCAGAGGGTGGACCAAACTCTGAACAACCAACTTGGATCAGCTGGATCTTGCAGAAGAACTAGGAGGACACTCATATTTGAGAGAGCTCTCTAAGTAGGTTTATAGCGGAGCATGCTCGCAAACTGTGTCCTTAAGTGTGATTACACGACTACGCCGTGAAACGTTGTTTGGTGTTTGACGGCTTTCCACACCACTACGACGAAACGCCAAGCCCAGTCGGCCCCCAAAACCCATGTCCGGTATATCGCTGCGGTTCGGTTATGGGCGTGAAGCCTTTGAAAAGGGGACATGCTTTGCAGGCACTTTGTTATACAGGCCATGGTCTAAGTCTATGGCTGCATTCAATCCATTGGTTGAATCCGGTGCCGGATCCCGTCTCCCTGCCGGATTCGGTGTCTTCGCGTCTCTGTGCGTCTCCCCATGCGTCTCTGTGGGTCCCCGGACGCACGGACCGCCTTCAACCAAAAGAACAGGCAAGCAGGCACCTGTGGAGGGCACGATAGGGCAGGGATGCATCAGGAAGCTTCAAGTGGGGTGCATTGATGGAGTTGGTGTCTTTCGGTGAAAGGAAGGGACATACAAGTTGTTCACCTTCTCTCTTCCACACACCAAGTGATTGAATGTGTTTGATACTTTGCATAATCAAAGTATAGTATTTATATTTATATAATTCCAGCTGCCCTATGGCCCTAGTCCTCCACCGCCCCTGACTCTTGTGATGAAGCCCGGACACTATGGACACTGAGGCAAAATTCGTGTTTACCACGTGGCCACTGTAGCAGCCTCACTGCCATAGTAAATGATGGCCTTTGATTGCAGGGCCGCGGGCCGCGCCCCGTATGTGGGCCGCGCCCCGTGGCAGTGCCAGTGCTCAGACTGGGCGTGGTCGACCGTTCCATCCACCCTTTGGCTCATCGCCTGGAGGCACAGCAAGAATCGCACCGTCTCTCTGAGACACTGCCTCAACGGTTGAACGAAACGGCCACGGCCGACGGGAGGCGTTGGACCGGTTGAGCAGGGTGACAGCACATGATTCTTGTCCTTTCCTTCCGCCCAAATCATGACATCATGACCCTTGGAAGATGCCCAGCCCATGGAGTCGAAAAGATGCCCAGCCCATGGAGTCGAAATTGCGATGGTCATCTGATGCTGGCAACTTTACCAATTAAACCTCTTGCTGATCCGAAATGCAACATCATCAACACTAATCGAGGCTTGCTTTCCACAGCTTGGAACTACAGCCGCATCACCAGATTCTTGACTGGAAACACAAATGAAAGCAGCCCTCTGCATGAGGGTCGTCTGCTTCTGGAACCGGCGGAACCACTCCTTACCTGGCGATGTGAAGCGAGTTCCAGGCCCCCCGAGCAAAAAGCAGGTGGTCTGCTTGCACACGCAGCGGCAGCAGGTGCGGTTGCGCGTGTAAGCTGAGCGCGATAGGCAGCCAGTTTTGGGGGCAGGTCATGATGGCATGTAAACGATAAATATGCTACGTACACGTGCCAAAAAAACATCAGAAGGGCCAATGGATAGATTAGATCTAAAACCCTGCATGTGTTCATCCTGAAAAGCACTAGTGTCCAGGTGAAGAAATCATCACATGAGGCTTTCCCATCGGCGTCCAAATTCTGCTCACACCGCTTTGTCGGTGCAACGGTGTGTCTTCTTTCTGTCAATTCAAACCGGGTATTTAGCTGGGCACCCAACAACGCCTTGTCAGGTCGTTTTTGGCGTCACAGGTACTTGAAGGGTTGTGTGGGATGATTTGGGTGTTGGAAACGAAAGAGATTCTCATCCTTTTGGAATCGGATGCATCAAAAAACATCAGAAGCGACTTTTATGCTACTTCTGCTGGAAGCTATGCATGTCTATGTGCAAGTCTGCTACGGCGCAAGTGAAAAGGAAGCATAAGCATAGGCACAAACACTAAAAGACAACGCAATACCTTCCATGTCCACTTAAACCCTGGGATGTGTTGCTGCCACCCAAAGTTTCTTGGGCAGTTCGACAAGCTAGCAGCTAGAGCATGGCACCTACTTTCCAGAGAAGCAACTTCGACGACATCCTGTAATTTCATGTATTTACATGTATTATCCCCGTGTGTACTGCCAGGGGATGTCCTCACATTGGAAATTAATGTTGAAATGGAATTTATTTCCATTGGCGCAGACCTCTGAAAGAAGGCCATGAAATAAGCCAAGAAGAGGGGGGGGTAGTCGCTCATGATCACTATATAACAATAAATTAAATCCTGTCCCCTGACCCCCCCCTCCTCAATAACAACTTTTAAGTTCATGATTTTTCTCCTGTCTCCTGACCCCCCCCCCCTCAATAACAACTTTGAAGCTTACATTTTTTATCCTGTCCCCTGACCCCCCCCGCCTCAATAACAACTTCTATAACTTCTTAATCTTCTTGACGGGAAGAGGCAGGGGGGATTGGTGAAAGATTGTGAAAGCTAGCGGGGTGGATACCTGTCAAATTTATCCAATTGATGAAGTGTAGCGTTTCCAAAATGCAGCAAGGTTTTCTTTTTCCATCTTGCCAGGTCTTTGGTGCATGCACGGGTTCCTATTTCAATCTACATCAGCGCTTCATCTGGAAATGTGTGTAATCTATTTCCTGAGGTGTCTTACCTGAAGACCTGAAGATAGGTATGATAGGTCACATGGTCAGCCCCCATGGAAAAATAGTTAAAATTGGGTTTCTTGCCTTTTTGAGTCTTTGGTGCTGTGTCTGGAGTAGGGGGTGGTTGTGTGTGGAAAGGTTTGTAATCTATTTCCTGGGGTGTTTCCCTTGAAGATAGGTCATGTCAATGAACATGGTCAGCCCCCATGGACAAAAATTGTTTGACACTTCAT